ATCACTGAAACAAATCGAAGTGGATATATACCCTATACTTGATGAAGAGGAAATATATTTCCAGTACGACGGCGCTCCTTCTGACTACGTTCTTTCGGTTCGGCAATGGCTAGACGACGAGTTTCCAGATGAATGGATAAGGTGAAAAGGGCCTATAGAATGGCCTGCTAGACCTCCTGATTTGACGCCATTAGATTTTTTCTTTAGGGTCATTTGAAATCTATTGTGTTTACTTCCCAACCTGAAGGTTTGGATGAACTTCGTCAACGCATCATCAACGTCTGCCATGACATCCCACAACATGACCAATAACGGGCAACATTTTGAGCACTTATTAAAATAAATAGTGATAGTTTTGTGTGTTTCTGTTTTCTGAACAAATTAGGATGATTGAAGATTTTTCTAATTTTTTTTTGAAAACGAATCGATCAATTTTAAAAAATCAAACGTCAAAAAGGACTTCGAAATACCTTTCAAACAAGCTATTACTCGATACATCTTGTCATTTAAAATGTTAAAGGAGATGACCCTGGGGGAGAGGGTGAAAGGGGGTGACGTAGTTTTTGGCGAAAAAGTTGACCTTTTGACGTGTCTCGGCGTTTTTTTCAATCAGTGGTTTTCGATAAATCCGTGGTGAGAAGTTTTTAAATATACACCCTGTATACTATTTGGTACGTCAGGAACAGCATGTATGATAAACCAAATTTTTGCAATATAACTGTCCATAGGGGACAATCTCTTAATCAAGATTTCTGTTTTCATAAAATATGTGAAACTACTTTAACCATCTAGATGTATGTAGATGTAGATACCATTTTAAACCAGTTCCTTTGACAAGGAATTTTATTATACTCTCCTTCCAAGAATACTATTATCGACATCATTAAAAAAGCAGGAAACGTGACCTGAAGTTACTCGCCCATGATGGTGGACTCGGATATTCAACTCGCCATTCTACGAAAAGCTTAAACTACATGTAGTGAGATCGTCCTTTGAACTTGCATTTTGGAAATATTCATCCCCCTTTATGTGTGGAAGCAGTACAAATGAAATTTAGAAAGCCGTGGAAAATTTAGAAGTATCCCTAAAAAAGCCATCATTCTTATTTTGGGCAATTATGCTACATGTGTTGAATTATTAGCTTTTAGCTTTTGTCACAAAGACCTCTTTCAAAGTAAAAAATCTGTAGTGTCTGGAATATACAGAATCGTGCCATATTACCTTTGTGCTTTTGTGAGTCAGAGGGATTGCGTTCATAATAAGTAACTTTAGAACGCAGTGGAAGATAAGAACGGCTACTTTCAGGAAAAAATTAAATTCACCGCACGGATAAGTATCTATGGTTATTCAGTTCATATAATTCAAGTAAGATGAGTAATGAATGTTAATGATATCATTACAGCTACGACATAAAGAATTAAATATGGTGATTGAGATTGTAGCAGATATTTCATTGTCACATCCGCGAATCTTCTTCGAATTTACATTCTGAGAACGTTATGATTCTGTATTGTTAGAATTTTATGATATGTTTTATTGATATAGGAAGTATATATATTTCTTCGACCGCAATACAGTCTGTCAGCAGTTAGTTGAAGGTTATGTAAGCTGGTAACTAAACTTAACGGATAGAAAAATATTGTCTATTAGCAGTTAATGACATGTTAGCACTAAACATATCGTTAAAGTTTACAAACAGGCGTTAGACTGAAAAATCAAAGTAATTCAGTAACATTGGTGATCCATACGCCATAAAAAGCAAAATATGCAGAAACCGAAATTTTCGTGAGTACAATACTTATTGGACGGATTCAGTGGTTGTTATCATTATACAGAGTATTTTCAGCATGAAGCAATTATGGAAGAGCCGTTTACTATTATTAAATTTATTTATATATATTATTAAATATTCTAAGGGCCAATTTCACCAACAACAGTCCGTTATTCTCCACCTAAAGGGTAACAGCCCGTCAAATACAGGGAACGAGCTTCAAGTTCCAATCAACAAATTTTAGCAACCAATAGCTATGAAATGTTGAAAACAAAATACTGTCAAAGTATGAGATGACATCTTGTCATTGAAAGATCATCAGCTTATTGCATATTAAGAAATTACATATAATTCAGTCAAAATTTTAAGAACTGATTGATTTTTGAATTAAATTCATGTTTTAATTACCATTGTTGATTTTTTATTCATGATAATATTATTTTCTTCAATTGATATGCGATTTTACTGAATCAAGATCCTCTACTGGGTGTTTTTTCCTATAAACCTGTTGCACATAGCCATTAAGCACCTACTTGATGACTGCCAGTTCATAGATATTGCTCGTTTCCACACATTCACTCATTTACTTGCCGTTCGTCAGACCCATTATGGCACCTTACATTGATATTTCCACAAAACCATTCTGGTTTTTTAATATCCATACATCCATAAAGTTGAATATTTTTCGTTGTTCAGGAATTTAACAAACATGCATAGCGATCAACAAATACTCAAACATATGTCGTAAACCTCCCGGCAAACTTAAAACCTGCAGAAAAACTAGAAATTTGCAATAACTTTCTTGTTGCACTGAGTACATATTCTGGATTATATTTATATTAGACGTTATTTGAATCGCAAAACATATACACTGATTTGAATAACAGCTGATTATCTCCTGATATTTTAAACCTAACCATATCGACAAATGACACATAATTCTGTGGGATCCGTCAACACTTCGTCCCAGTGGCCCAGTGGAGCAAACTCTGCCAACTGTCGAAATAAACTTTATTAATTCCAAGTCTTATTTTTGTTTTACTGTGCCTGCTTAGATATTCAAATACGGCCAGGAATTATTAGCGCGTGGCTATTTTAGGCCATAACTCCTTATTTTAGATCTATCCTTATTTTGTTTTTTCCACGCATTCATAGTAGAAAGAAAAATATGTCATCGAACATCGATACCGTATACCGTGCAGCAGGCACGCCCATCACTACTTTGACAGATTGCAGAATGATGTCAAGGTGACAATCGTTATGGGTTTTTGTTTTTGTCTGAAATAGGCAAGTAGGCTTTGTGTATTCATTTTTATTTTTATAGCGTTTCCAGAATTTCATATTTCGAAACGATGTCAAGGGCCGGCAGGGGAAAATCTTTCTCTATCGTCGCCATCCCTATATTGTATCCCCACCAGTCAGTAATTACTAATAATTTTATGTCTATGTCTACAGTAATTGCATTATGCACCTCGGAGATGTAGGGATTAACATGTTTTACACATATCGGTGTTTCAGGATGGGGACGACCATACTGTTTTGATTGCTTTGAAGAAATTCATTAACCCATGAATTTATAACAAATGATTACTATTGTGATGTAAAGAGAGATGAGGAATTGGTTGGAATACATTTTATATTCTATTTTCTTGCAAATCCGCACAATTCAACAGGTATGTGTAGCTATAATGATCTCATAATATACACACAGTATATTGAACTTAACAAATTTCGAGATTGCCATGAATTAACAAACGACCAAACCTGCTGCCAAATTTAACAGCTAGAAAATCGACCTATTATTTGCCGCATTCCCATTCGCTGAGGGGGATAACGGATTGTTAAATGTAAACCTGTAACATATATCAAAATACATGAAAGTTGTCCTGTTTTTTCTGTACAAAAGCATTATGTTGGAATCAAAAAGTGGTCTTGTTTATAATACAGTCGAATTTTTACGATTTTATTCAACATTTTAATAGAAATCACTGATATTCTGACACCTTTGACAGCTTCCGTCAAATTGCATTTCGATAAGGTATTTTCCTATTGGTCCATAATAATAATGTTGGTGAAATCGGCCCTAAGTCTATCTTGTTTCTGGAGGCATGCTACCCTCTTCCTTATAATATCAACGCGGTTGTTCCCCAAGGATCGGTCTTGGCTGCAACGTGGTTCCTCTTACATATTATCAGCGATCTCCTTTCTTGTACGATCAATCCGATCCACACCTTTGCTAATGATAGCACACTGTACATGCAGGGATTCGGATTGATAAGTCGGTGAGCTGGAGAAAAGAAGGCTATCAGCGACGTTCTCTTTGCGAGAGACCTGGAATTATCACTCTTTGGTGACGCAACAAGCACAGAACTGCATTTTGACTAACAAAAAGCGCACTAGCTCTCATCCGGTTTCGATTGATGGCTCAGATCTGCCGAAGAGCCGTTCATTTCGACTGGTCGGAGTCCAGATCGCCAAGGACTTGATCTGCCAGCCAGGCTGTTTTAGAGCTAAGAAATACTTTTCTCCGCATAACTTCCTCAGTCTGCAAAAGGCCCAGATGAGACCTTGCCTCGAGTACTGCTGGCATGTTTGGGGTGCTGCCGCCCTGAATACAATATCCTTGCCCGATACTGTTCAGAGGGGAGCTATCCGACTGACCGGAGACTCTTCTCTAACTGACAGTCTCGGGACCCTTTTATGGTGTTTGCGAAACACCCTATACAAGTTAAATTACTGCCACCGAAATACTTGTTTTTAAAAAAAACTTTATTTGATTAACGGTACAAAAGGACTTTTGTGAAACCTTGTCACGACGATGCGTAAAACAGGACGGTTAGACAAGAAGTGACAAGATTTCCTCACATATGGATTTAGTACAATGTAGTAGAAACATAATATGCTGATACAGAGGCTTGTGAACTTCAAGGCGCAAGATAAGATTCCATAGCGTAGCGACAATGCTAGCAAGAAATACAAGTACCAGGTAATAATTATAATATTATATAAAATACAGGGTGATGATGGATATAACTTACATATTTAAAGGGTTATGAGGTATAAGCAACTGCAAAGTCTCGCACAACGTGCCTACCAGAACAGATGACGTAATTACTCTTGGTTATGACATTCTTTAGCTATGAATTTAGAGACATCTTGATATAAATATAACAATCACGTGTTTCTATGTATGGTATTAACATCGAGGACTAGTGACAAATTATTTCTTGTCCACATGAAGAGGTTGATATTGTGGTATCAAGAGTTTTGGAATACGATTACGTTCTTACCTTTCAAAACCACCCATTTTTCTCTACGCAAATTGACCCTTTTATGCACTTAGTGGAGTACCTAGCAGGAAACGTAAAAGCATGTCACATTGCAAGACTAAGGCCCGTATCGTCAGTCGTCCCTACAATTGTAGGACGCCTTTATGGCCTCCTTGATTGTCATAGTTTTCTACTTCTCCGTGTAAGCGCTCTATTTTGAGGTTATGTCACAAACATCTATTTGCATCAAATTGTGCTTGCTTTTGAGTTATATCATGTTTTATCAGCCTGAAATTTCCTACAATTTAAAAAGAAAATATATCTTCACAATAGGAGAGCGCTGACGCTGACACGGGCCAAGTGTAATCCAGAAATTTTTGAAGGAGAGAAAGGAGTATGACAATCAAGGAGGCCATAAACGCGCCCTACAAATGTAGGGGTGACTGACGATACGGGCCTAAGAGATTTGTTCGTTATGAGTATAGAAGCCCCGAGATGTCGGAGCTGGGAAAAGCACTTGACCTCCTGACAGTAAAGCTACATCCAGTTTGAATTTGTTTTTCTCATAAATGTTTTAATTTTTAGAAATGTTACGGAATTAAGACTGGCAAATTCGGTAGGCAATCTAAAAATTTAGAAAGTTCACCTCCTATCTTTCTCAACGTTTCTCTTTGAAAGTGTCTGGAAATTTTAAATTAAGTTTGCATAACAGGTCCCAGTAATCTGTAATACCATATCATGCGTGCGATGTTTTGTTTAGTTGATACGGCTGCCATGTTGGTTTTCATAAGATGTTTTTTCGCACAGAAAATCGTGACACCTGCGCTTAAATATATAATAAGAAAATGTATACTCAGTCACGACCATATACTAAAAGACATAGAAAATGCAACACCGACTAGGAGTGCTGTAATTTTGAGCATACCTTTGCAAGTTTTAGGTCTCCTGATAAATAAAAAGTGATTAACAGTTTAACTCGAAATTTCGCAAATTAGCTGAGATATCCTACCTTAAAGTTAATAATGTGTTGAAGCTCCTCTGTCCGCTACACAATCGATAAGTCGTCGCGGCATTGACTGGATTAGATGATTGGTGTCTTCTTGGTGTATTGTATCCCAGGCCATCTGCCTTTGGTTTCATAGAGCATCCGATGTTTGTGGAGGGTGCGGTGAATTTTGCAACCTTCTTCTGATCATGTTTCATACATGTTCGATGGAGGAAAGGTCTGGAAATCGAGGATGCCACTGAAACATTTACTCCGGACGCTTTTAAAAAGTAAAAACTAACACGTGCGACATAAGGTCGTGCATTGGCCTGCTCAAAAAGCGGATCTAGCAATGTTTCCAAAAAGGGAAGCGGATGTGGTTGTAAAACTTCGTGGATACAACGCTGGGCAGTCATGCTACCTATAATGAACACTAATCGTGACCTGCTGCCGTAAGCAACGGCATGGAATATTACACGTTCCGACACGACTGAGTTTCATTCCATACTCCATTCAAGTCTCTCTACTTCATACCAATAGTTGCCGACGATGCTGTGGGGTCAGAGGTAGTACCTGTTGGGGAAAGTCGATCTCTAAATGCTAGTTGCCTCAAATAACGATCCTGTCGCTCTGTTGATGTCCAGTACCTCTAACTCCTTGATTTCGGCCTTTTTGGAACCACGCTCGACAACACCTCATTACAGTAGCTTCGTTTCGGTTCACCTGATTAGCGATTTCTCTAAAAGAAATTCCGACCCCACTCAAACTCTGAAAGTTGAGTAAAATTAGCGCGTCTGTGAACTCTAGGCGTGATAATGCAATGAAACAAATGGAACCAACACAGAAAAATCACTGAATATTAAGTAAACATGTTCATATTGTTAGGATCCTGCTGACAAAAAAAGGCTTTACAAAAAAGTACGGCTCGAAATGCCTTCAACATTTTATCAGCGTTCCAAGATAGCAAATACGTTTACAAGTTTTTACCAAAATTCAATAAATTTTTCTGTGTGTTGCATTTTATATGTGGCTTGGTATATTCATGAGCTTAGGTGAGCGCCATACCCATTTCTAATAGGATATATGTCGCACAAGAATCAAAAAAGCACATACCATAATGTCAAACAGTTTGACATAATACATTCGACAGGATGGAGCTTGATAGAGAAGAGTCTATTAAGGAGATTACCCTAACATTTTTCTCACTTTTATGAAATAGTATTATAGGCCCACAATAATGTGTTTTAGTGCTAGCCATATTGTTTCTTAACACATGCGGTATTAAAACAGGTCAGAAAAGTTCAATACATTATGAACTTCATAGGAAGCTTAGCGTCGATAATACTGTAAAGGAAACGGAAAAATAGTTGATGTATAGCCTCCGGATGTAGGCTACCATTAATACACGTACCCGAACCGTGACCACGGTAATTAATCACCAACAAAGAAAGTTTAAATTAAGCCGACTCTACGTACGAGCTGCAAATAGTTATTTAATGTTCGTGCCAAACTATAATAAAATATTCAAATGTACCTTCGATCTTTTTATTCAGTGCTTTGGCTGTTGGAGATGCTCGTGTTTGATATCGTGTTGGTCTATTAATAAAACGCTGCTAACGTAAATTAAAAACAGATTTCAGCGAAACACGAAAGCTTCATCCTTAGAACAATGCGCCAATTTTCCTCTACAGAATGTTTATTGTCGATTTAACAACTTTGAGCAGCCCTTGTTATAGCCTGAAATCAAGACAACTAGACAGCTCAAATCAGGTTTTAGTTTCAAAAAGTGTGCACCAATAGCTAGCTGTATTCGGGTCTCTACGTGGAACTATTCCAGAACCTTTCTGAACCAATAATAGCCAATTGAATCAACCTATTACAGGTCGCTGGAGAACGCACTGAGAATTGTTTGTTCTTGGACAAAATGTAGCCTCTTGAAACCCAAATGAAACCAAGACCACCGTAATTGGTAGAGCCAAACAGAAGTTACATCACTTTCTCTAAAATTTCATTCAACCGTTTCCCTCCCTAAACCATTTAAGTTATGAAAAAGTTGTGTTTAAAAGTTTCATAGCTACTTTTCCAGAAGTTTTTCATTTAAGTTGGTGGACAGGACATCCTGACCTAATACTGCCCCTTGATTTCCATTCTTTTCTAAATGTTCAGTGTCAATTTTAAGACACGTTGACAAAGTCTCATTGATATATACTCGTATATAGTTTAATTTATAAGAACAGTTTTCGTACATGACCTGCAAAATCCTCTTAGACACAGACACGCTTGTTTAGCTAAGCCAATAGACATCACCTTTAACACTTATGTAAATGCACTTTATTGTTTTGTTTATTACATTTACAGTAAATAGTAGCTTCTGTTAAAATAAAATATGTTACTGGACACAAGCAAATGTTATTTTATCTTTTACAATTATATGCAGAAGCCTAAGGATTAGCGAATGATAACAAGGCAATATGAGATTGCTGGTGTTTTTGAGAACGTGAATGCGCAGCTCCCAAACAGTTCTATGTCGTTCCTGAAAGGTGAACAAGACTTTTCAGTGGACCGTTAAAGGGCTGCCTATCTTATTTTGGGACATGAAAACTATCGTTATCCGTTTAAGAAAAGTCACAGGCTCACTAGTTTTATAGTAAACTTTGAATTACCTTATTAAAGTAGTTTAGTTTTCTTTGTTTTCGAGGCACATTTAGTCTGACCTAAATAGTAGCAATTATTGACCGCCTATTCCAAATCAAACTGAGCCCAGTCTATCGACACTGACTATTGTTTGTTCCATGAATGACATCACAGAACAAACATATCGTCAATTGAATATTCCTGGGCCAACTCAATCACAGATAGAATAGACGCGGCCTCGCTACCCCCAATACCACTTCAATTTGTCAACAAAACTGTAAACAAAATAAACATGGGCTTTCTGACTATAGTCCAGTGATCAGTGATCCTAACCATGCCAGAATGGTGTCAGTGGCAGAGTTTGGCGCAGAAGTAGTTGAAAAAAATAAAATTAAAATAATCGACGTACAGAGAAAGATATCAACAATTTTTTAAAGTCTTGATGACGTTTCATGATATTTTCTATTTTGCCTTTTCAAAGACTTGGACATTTTCAGATAAGTTTTTGTATGAAAGCTAAGAGAACTATTTATTTATTGAGATATATTGGGCGTCAAAATTAGCGCAACACTGCTGTAACAAGAGAAACTCTGTAGATTCTCATTTTTATTAAGGGGTACTAAGGTTGTCAACATCACCAGTAAGGATAGAACTAACCGTAGTACTAAGGCTAGAGAGCTATGGAACTTCGAGAAAGGTACGCACAAAGGAGAAAAGTACGCATTCTAAAAAAGGATTGACTCGACGATTTCTTACGACTATTTTATTCTCTAATCAAAACTATAAGAATTAACAATACAACACAGATTATCTACACACATTCAGAGAAGTATAAATTATGAACTGTGTCATATGTGGACACATAGATTTTGATTTACGATCTGGGAAACAACGCGTGTGACCATGACTAATACTAAAATGCGTATTGAAATGACGGGCTTCGAGTTTGAAATTGTAACACTTATTGGAAGTTCCTTCTAAGCAAGAAGTCAGTCTAGGCGATTTCCTCAAACTTTTCGTTACTGAATATTGCACCCCTATAATTTCTGTTGAGGATGAAGTGGAAATCCCGGATAATTTTTAAAAAAATGCAGAAAGGAAAGTGTCTTACTCAAGTTACATTTCTGAATAATTCTAGTCTTTTTTGTGACGCGACTACACACTCACACTACCCTCTATGCCATTCGTCAAAAAATATGTAATCCTCAAGAAGCACTGCTTCAAATCAGCCTTGGCAGTATTCTTATCCTAGTACCTTCGTCAAGGAATACACGGGTCGTAACTTTTTTGTACTCTAAATAATACGGTATACATCCTGTTACCTGTGTTTATGCACACTTTCAAATATTCTGATTTATCATAAACGACATGAGCAAAATAATGCTAAATGACAAAAATCCGAGTCCTGTATTTATTCATACTGAGTTAATAATATTAGCTTGCATAATTTTCACCAATTTCCAGAAGTTTGATTAATTTGAAAGTTCGCACAATTATCAAGGACCGATGATAATATAATAATTTGATACCAGTTTTTCATTACCTTTATTAGGACCGCCAGGATTGATAAATTCTTTTATAGATCCTCTGTAGAGGAGTAAGAGAGATAGAGCTATCGCACGATCTGCGCATGCGTGCAGTTTCGGGCTTACTCTCTGTTGGTTTGGTCACTCGGCACAGCACAACGGAGGCAGATACTTTTTCAAGGTAGTGCATTCTCACCTTGTCCATTCCTTATACTTCGACTTCGAAGTTGAGTCATTTATTTTAACAGTGAGTAGATCTGATCAAAAGAAATGTTTTTTCCTTTAACATTTTTCTGGTAAAATTAAAGTAACGAAGTTATAGCCCTTTAGAAGTTTGAGTACCGCTCTGTCTCAGTAATAATATGTGCTCGTGTTTGGCAACGACGGATATAATCCGCCTTATCGGCTCATCGCATCGGAAACAAAAAAGCGAAAGAATTTGAAACGCTTATCACGATGTTTTTACTACAATTTTATTCAGTTGTATTCAGTCAATGTGTCAGTGTCTAATACACGCGAATTACTGTCTATAATATTCATATAATATATTATATGATAACCGTGATTCATAAAAGTCTTCATATTCACAACAAAATGATCAGAACATAAATTTCAATCTTTGTATTATATACAATATAATATATACAATATATTATATTACAATATTTGGTAAATAGCAAAGCTTTGAATTTACAGTCGATAACGACGGAATTTAATACGATCAAAGAATTTGTAATTATGAAGACTTATTGATTAAAATACAAATGACGAATATGAATATAAAAAAAAACTAATTGACAAATCGAACCAAAAAATGAAAAATAAATATTAGTTTAATAAACTAAAAAATACGCTTTTATAGCTAACCGAACTAAAAAGTAGAAAATAATTTTTAATTACAAAGAGTTTATATTACAGTAGTAGATGGTCGAACAATCACTCATAACTAATTATCTCAAAATAAAAGTATAATCAAATTTAAGTTATTAACAGAATAGTTCAAATCAGACTAAAAAGCGAGAGGTGCTTGATATATCAAATATTGCAATCATTCTATTGGCAACTATCTGAGAGGAGAGT